ACTAACACTGAAGAGAGAAGGACAGATGGAGGTGTGAGGCAGGGAAGAAAACAAGGGAGACCATCGAGAACGCTTCCGCAGATGTCCGTAATGAAACTGTTGGTGGCATGGCCTGGCGCAATTGGTGATGCATAGGCAGGGGGAGGAGGAGAGGTGGATCCTGGCTGTGCTTATGGGGAGACTTGGCAAGCCTGTGCTTCCTGGCACTGGGGAGTGAGGGGGAAGGAGGAGCAGGCATGACTCAAAGCTGTTGGTTTGGGCAGATGGTAGGACAATGGTGCCATTTGCTGAGCTGAGTTGGGGCTGAGGAGGTTGGAGGGTAGTGGGAGAGTGTGGTTTGAAGTTATCAAGGATGAAACTCGGGGTGGATTGGCAAATAGTGGGCTGTGAGCAAGGAGGAACCACGGGAAGCTAAGCCGTGGCAGGTGTGAGCCTCCCTTCATGTACCTTGTACAGTGGCATCATACATGTTTTCATCCCTCCCATGTAGTTTTCTAATGTGTAGGGTGGGAAGGGGAGGCCAGTCGGTCCTCAGAGCAGGTGTGGCAGCCTGCAGAGTGGGCCCTAAGGGACCTTTGCTTCCTACTATTCACACCTCCCATATTGCAAAAGGTTTGATCTGTGAGACCAAAACAATATGGGTATGTCACTTTTGAGGTTGGCTTACAGGGCTACTGTCTGGCAGGTCACTTATGCTGAGGATGCTGGTCGCCGTTTGTCAGGAGCAGTTCATGTGACAAAGAACTAATGCTTTGTGCTAAAAGTCACATGAGGGAAGGGGTGAATTTTCTAGTCTTCTGATGACTGTAACCACTGAGGTCAGTTGGACTGTAAGCTCTCAGCCCAGAAACCATGAATGATAAATAGTTGCAGTCAACTTCTATTGTTGACAGAGCTTTCTGTCCCACCTGGTCCCCCAGCCATTCAGTCCCAAAGAAACACAGAGGTCTACATTAATTATAAACTGAGCCTATTAGCTGAGGCTTCTAATTAACTCATATTTTACACCTTAACCCATAATTCTTGCCTATGTTCACCATGTAGCTTCATACCTTTTATCAGTGAGGCATTCTCATCTTGCTTTCTCTTGGTCTGGGTGACGACTGCAGACTCAACCTTTCTTCCTCTTCCCAGAATTCTCCTGTTCTCGTTGCCCAGCCTCTATTTCCTGCTGGTCACCCTGCCTATGCTTCCTGCCTGGCTACTGGCCAATCAACATTTTATTAAAGCAATATAATAGAAGTGACATAATATAAGACCACTGTCCCACAGCACCCTACATTTTGAGATGATTTGTTACTAAACAAGAGATGCCTAACTGTTGCAGAGGATGAACGTACTTCCATAGGGTCTGGCACATGTTGGGACTGTCATACATGCAGGGTCTTCCACTCTAGAGCTCAGAAGGAGCTTGGCTGGAGGTATGGACCAGAGACTGTTTAGCTTAGAAACAGTCATGGACTTCATAGAAATGGCTGAGCCAGTCTGGGGAGAATGATGGGGAGAGAGGGGAGGTTGCCATTGAAATGCGTGTGTAGAGGATGGAAAAGTCGGGGGTAGCCTCTCCATCTTGAGAGGAGGAGATACAAAGGGAAGGAAAACAGAGAGCATGGCACCCGAGGCACTGGGTACCTACACCTTGTAGAGGCCTGGGTCATGCTTATCCAATACTAAGGAAGGTCCTACTAGTTTTAGCAAGACTCGTTTAAGTAAGAGGTGGTCCCTATGACCAGATTGAATATTGTGGGTCATGGATTCATAACAGGAAGATGTATTTATTTAATTTTTTAGAGACGGGGTTTCTCTGTGTAACAATCTTGACTGTCCTGGAATTCACTTTGTAGACCAGGACAGCCTCAAACTCACTGAGATCCACCTGCCTCTGCGTCCCAAGTGATGGGATTAAATGTGTGTGCCACCACTGTCTAACTAACCCTGTCCCTAAAAAAAAAAAAGTGGGCACTGGTGATGGTAGATGCCTTTAATTCCAGCACTCAGGAAGCAGAGGCAGGTGGATCTCTTGAGTTTGAGATCAGCCTAGTCTACAGAGAGAGAGTTCCAGGGAGCCAAGGCTATTACACAGGAAAACCTTGTCTTGAAAATAACAAACAACAAAAAAAGTCTTTTTTTTTTTTTTTGAGAAATAGGGAAATGACTCTTCAGGAATACTGGTAAATCAGAAGCAGTTGTAGTGACACCAATCCTAGGAGGTCTCAATCTCGAGTGATTTATCTCTTTTCTTTTCTTTTTTTTTTGTGATTTCTATCTTCTTTCCTTCCTTCCTTCCTTTTTTTTTTTTTTTTCGAGACAGGGTTTCTCTGTAGTTATTGGTGCCTGTCCTGGAACTAGCTCTTATAGACCAGGTTGGGCTTGAACTCACAGAGATCTGCCTGCCTCTGCCTCCCAAGTGCTGGGATTAAAGGTGTGTTCCGCCACTGCCCAGCTCTTCCTTCCTTCCTTCCTTCCTTCCTTCCTTCCTTCCTTCCTTCCTTTCTTTCTTTCTTTCTTTCTTTCTTTCTTTCTTTCTTTCCTTTTCCTTTTTTTGAGTATATTGTTGGCCCGGTGGTGTAGTTAGTACATAGAGGTTTGTTTGCTTTGTATGATTCTGAGTTCAATCCTTAGTACCACAAGGACAAGCATCCATACTCCTTGTATTTTTTCCTTGTATTATTTAAATCCAATATCTACATATTCTAGAAAATAAATAAAATTCAGAAGAACATTAAGAAGTAATAAATAGGGTTGGGGAGGTGGTTCAACAGTTAAGAGCACTGGCTGCTCTTCCAGAGGCCCAGAGTTCTATTCCTAACATCCACATGGTAGCTAACCACGATCTATAAGGCCAATCCCAGGGGATGCAACTCCCTTTTCTGGCCTCCATGAGCACTGCACACAGGTAGCAATCCCTCTATATGAGGCTCTATCTATGGTCAGAGCCCCTTCTGGCCTTATATGATAGGCAGGCCATTCTGTAAATTAATGGCTGTGAGGGACCACCTATCCTGCCTTTTGGGAAGTGAACAGCCAATTAGAAGGGTAGAGCTAACATCATCTTGTATAAAACTTCGGAGGCAAGCAAAACACCCTGTATACATAAAATTTTTGAGAAAATCTTCAAAAAGAAAAGAATAAGTCACTGATCACTGACATTCTTAGTCTATTACCTTGGAACATTATGTTCAATGGTTTATCCTTCAAAATTTTGTCATTAAAAAAATTAACATTACCTGGGCGTTGGTAGTGCAGACCTTTAATCCCAGCACTCTCGAGGTAGAGGCAAGCGGATCTCTTGAAGTCAGTCATTACAGAGTGCATTCTAGGACAGCCAGGGCTACACAGAGAAACCTTGTCTAGAAAAAATTCAAAACTAAACCAAACCAAACACTCTCCTCCAACCCCTCAAAACAAACAAACAATGAAAGCAAACAAATGAAAATCAACATTAGGATGCTGCATGCAGTATTTTGTGTATTTGCAGAAGCATTTCCCTGTGTCCTTACTTCGTTTCTATTTTCCCTTAGTGAACATGTCAGCATAGCCCTTCATTATGTTGAAGCCCATGTTACTTATACCTATTAACTTGATTTTTTAAGAAAAATCAAATATTAGATTTGACCCTGATGATCATATTCATAAAAACTAGATTCCAGAACCATCGAACCAACATGCGAATGTGTAAACCAGGTGAGTCTCATTTCTTTTGTTTTTGTTTTTGTTTTTGTTTTTTTTAGACAAAGTCTCATTATGTAGCCTGGCTGGCCTGGAGCTTTCTATGTAGGCCAGGCTAATTTAGAACTCACAAGAGACCTGCTTGCCTCTGCCTTATGAGTGCTGGGATTAAAGGAGTTTCTAAGGCCAGTGGTTTTTCACCCGTCTACGAGTGGACCGCGATCCGATCCGGCTAGCTAGAAGTGAATGGCTTTTGGAACTCGTCTATGCACGAAGTCCAATTAGCTCTGCATCCTTGGCCTCCCTCTTGAAGTGGGGACAGTATTCTTGCCAGCACTATCCAGGTCAAACTCCTCAGAGGCTTTGCACAGGATGATGTTAGCTCTGCCCTTATACCTGGTTGTTCTTCGCTTCCATCCCTAAAGACCGGATAGGTGGTCCTTCACAGCCATTAATTTACAGAATGATCTGCTGACCATTTAAGGCCGGGGGGGGGGGGGGGTCACTGGCCATTTCGAGCCTCACATCTGAAAAGCAGGAGCCCCTCTTCCCTAATTCTCCACCACAGCCTTCTCATCGGGCCCCTCCCAACAGGATTCGAACTTGGCTTATTTTGTCTATTGACTGCTTTCTTGAGTCTGGGAGGCTGCTGTCCTTCCCAAGCCCGGCACGATGAGGTCTATAAATCAACTCAGGGGAAACAGCAGAGGAGAAACAGCAGTAGAGACCTAGATCGCTGTGGCCCCGCACGGAAGGAACCGCCGGCGGCCGGGAGGAGCACAGCCTGGGGCGGGGGCGGAGTTAGGGCGTGATCTGGGCGGAGCTCCTCGGCGGGGTGGGGCGGACCAGAGGCGGGGCTTCTGGGCTGCAGCAGAGCCCGCCTGACCACGCCGACCCGGC